CTGCTAATCTGCTTTGCTCTGTCTTCATAGGCAACATGCTACACTGTGATCTGACTTAAATGGAATTACTAAAACTTACTACTGAAAACTAAATAACTTTAAAAGCTGTTAATACAATTTTATATGTCTTACTGTACCACTGCCTCTTGGCCAGGTCTCCCTCGAAAAAGAGATTTCATCTCAAGGGACTTCCTGGTTAAATAAAGGTTAAAAAAAATAATAATAATAATAAATTACATTTTTTCAATAGTCAGAAGATGCAGTTAAATTGACATCATCTGTGTTATTTGATATTTCTCAGCTCCAATCTATTTAAGTAGTTTTAGCCTACAAAACGTTATCCGTTGGGTTATAACAACAATTTGGAATGAGTTAACCCTTGTTTTGTCAAGTTTATTGCTTTTGAAGCAGTTCTAAAGAATTTTCAGTTTTGGTCAATTTTGGCGCTCCCTGTGGACAAACGCTTTAATAATTTTGCCTGAAGGAAGACAGCATTTCCCATGAGGACCAGTGCATATAGAGCAATACAATTCTGATCCCCTGGTTGCCTGCAATTGGATTGAACCACATTGCTGTTTCCAATGGCCATGTGAAAGATGAATAGCGATGAGGTAATGAATTTAATTGTGGCGAAATAATGTCATATGACGGTGAAGATTCTCAGTCGTCCAGGTCCTAGTCATTCCAAAAAAGTAAAAAAAAACAATCCACTGGAATCGTTGGTGCAACGCAGGGATAAGTGTGTTTACTATGAAATGATTAAACAACATTATATTTATTTGTTTCAAGGCTCTAAACTCACCAGTTACTAATGTGCTGAGGAATCTGGTGTGGTGGAGGGGAGTGGGAAGGGCATGGTGGTGGTGCAGTAATACGGTACAAAGCTAAAGTTAAACATTTCTTGTTTTCAACAATGTCATATGATGTCCAGAAAGTCCAGAAAGTTTTTTCAATTCAAAAAGTCAGAAATAGCGTTGAGTTCCAGGCTTTATAGAGTGGACTAGCAAAGCCTTGTTTTTACTTAGAAAACATGCTTATTGCTCCGGACGAACGGGTCAGCCCCTTTGGAATGGGGGTCTTTTGGCTTCTTTGTTAGCCTACAAATACCCCATATCTATCCATGTCTCTGAAAGGGGGGTTGTTAAATGGAACTGTTGGCCTGGCTAAAAAAGGTGAGGTCTTCTGTTCCCCTGTAAGAGGGTGGGGTTATAATGATAGCGGCGAGGAATAAACACAATTGCTGCATTGTAGGTTTTTCCTTAGATGGGAAGCAAAATGTCTTCAAACTTGGAAACAAAGTCCAATGGATTTTTTGGAATGTCATATGATGTTTTTGAAAACAAGAAACGTTTAACTTTAGCTTTGTACCATATTACTGCACCACCACCCTGCACTTGCCACTCCCCTCCACCACACTAGACTCGTCAGCACATTGGTTGCTGGTGAGTTTATAGCCTTGAAACAAATAAATATAATGTTGTTTGATCATTTCACAGTAAACACACGTATCCCTGCATTTCAACAACAATTCCAGTGGATTGTTTTATTTTTTTTACTTTTTTAGAATGCCTGAATGAAAAAACCCTTTACAGTAATATACAGTCTCTCAGGGAAATTCAGTTGCATCGACTTCCGTCTTCATAAACGATGGTAAAAGGGGTAATGATGTACGCCATGAAGCAGTTTGCACATTTGTAGTTTTTTTTTTTGTGTGTAGCAAGGTTATTGCCACCCTTGTCAAAGAGGCTTAATTCCTGAGAAATAGGGAAATCGATATAGACCCCCTCAGGCCATGACGGAGGTGTCATTCAA